GGTTTTTTTTTTTTTTTTTTTTTTTTTTTTTTTTTTTTTTTTTTTTTTTTTTTGTACCAGGGATTGAACTCAGGTCCTTGCGCTTGCAAGGCAAGTGGTAGAACCATTGAGCTAAATCCCCAGCTAGATTTTGCTTTCTTATGGTTTCAGTTACCCAAAGTCACCGTTGGTCTGTAAATATTAAAGGGAATATTCCAGAAGTAAACAGTTCATCAGTTTCAGATTGTGTGCCATCTGAGTAGCATGATGAGATCTCCTGCCATCCCATTCCATCCCACTCAGGATATGAATCATCCCTTTGTCCAGTGTGTCCACACTATATACACCACCCACCCATTGGTCACTAAGTTGCCATCTCAGTCATTGGAGCAGCTGCCACAGTACTGCAGTGCTTGAGTTCAAGTCACCCTTACTTTACTCAATAATGGCCTCAAATCCCAAAGTAGTAATGCAGAGGCTGCACCAGGGCATGAAATATGGAAGGACTGATTTTAACTCTGCCATTATTTAACAACCTACAGGGCATATAGGGGAAAAAAAAAAATTAGTATCTGTAGGGTCTGTACTATCTGCAGTTTCAAGCATCCTCTGCAAGTCTTGGAATGTATTGCTCACAGATGAGGTCTACTCTATCCTAAGTGACATTATATGGCCAAAGGAGCCAATAGTAACACATTCTAAAGAGATACACAAACTTCACATTTGAGAGGTCTAGAGTTTTATAATCATAGTTCTAATTTCTTGATCGGACTAATGTTTCTCCTTTCACCTTCCTTATTTCCCAGCCTGGGACAAACCAATGGCTTCATCAGAAAGCCCTGCAATGTGGGAAGAAGGTGCCTTAATGGCTCCCAGTCCAAATCAAAATAAGATGTCCCCCCCGCCAAGGAGGACCACAGCTCATCTGTTCCCTCAGGCTCCCACCAAGGGAACAGCAACAGACAGGGTTTATTTTTGGCTCCCCTGTGGACCCCGGAGCCCTGCCCCACTTGCTGAAAACAGAGAGGTTGGGGTCCACACCATCTGGCCCTAGTTGAGAGGCTGGTAGGCTTTGACTTCTCTCACTGCTCATAAAGAAAAGCCAGGGAATACAACCCTCTTTGTGTCCATGTTTTCCAGGCCAGGGCATCATGTGTGATTCTCCAGTGGGCCTGGATTCTATTGGAGCCACACTGGTCATTCTGTGCCTGGGACTCCATCTCTGGAAGGAGACCCAAAGACCTTGCTACGGGACCCCCAAACTCCAGGGCCTCTTCTGACTTCACAACTCCATCCCCAACTCCCAGCCAGCATTTTTATGGGCTCAGCTAGAGCTTCCCTATAGGCCTGGGAACAAATCTATTTCTCTTCTCAGAGGGTAAAGGACAATGAAAACCATAAAGAGGGTCTCGGGTGAGCTCAACTCTGACAACCCAATACACAGCATCATTTATTCATTCATTCAGTAAAAGGCAGGACTTTGCTAAGGATGCCAGAAATAGCTATAACCTGCTCTTTGCCCTCTAGATACAGTGCGTTCACTATATAGATGCCGTGCCCTCTAGATGTTGTTCTCTGTCTCATGGACTGATCACAGGAATCTCCATGATCCAAAGACCAAAACCAGAGGAGGTAGGGAGTGAGACTGAGTAAGCTGGCCTTTCTTCTTCAGCCTCATCCCTGGCCTTATAGTCTCTCCCACCTTCTCTCTTCTCTGGCAGCACCTCTTGTTGTATCCTGTTCTCAGCCCATATGTACAACTGAACCTGGAGGGCACCTGACATACAGGCATCATCCTGCAGAGGGCCACAGTACTAGCTGGCAGCTCTGTGGAGCCCCAATGGTCGCTATTCAGAGTGAGGACTCTTCTTGGGTTATTTTCTGTCCCCTGCTCACTAGTAGCCCAGGGCCGTGCTGAATTCTGAAATCTTTTTCCTATCCTTCCAGACTCCACTGGGTCTTTGGCAGCCTGCTGTCTAGTCAGTGTCTCTTTGGACCTCTCCATGGGCAGTGCCACCTGGTTTCCCTTGTTTGGGCCATAACATCTATTGATGGTGCCTTCTGCCCTCATAAGTCTCCTCGTAGGAGCACTAAAATAGAGCAGCTGGACTAGAGAGCAGTTAGTCATTTGGGCAGCATCCTGGGAATGGCAGGCTTATCAGGAGCAGTCTTGGATCCTGAACACCTGGGCCCCTTCCTGGTCGGCATATGGGACCCATACTGATGCCCATATGGCCTCTTGGGTGCTTTGCTTCCCAGCTGTCTTGCCTCTCTGCAAGATGTCTCTGTCCTACAAGGTCCCCATGTTCCTGGCCAAGGCAAGGGCTGAGAATCAGGACGTGTCAGAAATGGTCTATCTGCACGACGAATACTGCCCTGCCTCCTAGGACTGTACTCCCAGGGCACCTACGTGTAGTCTGCTGCCACCTTGGCCATTTGAGGACATACTTCTAAGTTATTTCTTCTCTCCTGAAGTGGTCCCAAAAAGCAGACACTGAAAGAAGACTTCGAAGTGAATGTAAGCAGGGGGATAAAATGCCCAGAAAAGGCTGGAAGCCCTAGAGGAAGAAAGGCGTGGCAGAGCAGTAAAAGCAGAGCTGACAGCCATTTGCCTTTACACAGTGGCCTCACTTTGCTGCTGGCACTTTAGCTACTTGCCATGGTTTCATCTATCTTCACCCCAACATCATGAGATGAGGATAATTTCCTGCTGTATAAATGACGATACCTCTCAGCCATCTAACTTGCCCAAAGCTGTAAGACTAAGTTGAACACACCAATTCTAGAGAAAGAACTTTTCTAGATGAGGTACCCAGAAAGCCTGGGGAAGTAGGTACAAGTCAGGAACAGTTAAACCCTCTGATACCTACTTCCTAACAGACAGGAAGAAAGGAGTTGACGTGTAATCCTGTGGGTCCTCTGACTGTTGCCTGAAACTGAGGCCTGGGAAGCAAGGGAAGCCCTGTTGTCACACAGGGAGAGACAAACACCTCACTCCAGGAAGCTGCAGATATGGCCAAAACTGTGAGCCACAGGGAGCAGCCCAGGTGAGAGAATTCAGAGGACCATGCTACAAACGGCCTGCAAGTTGGGACCCAGGAGAGACACCTCAGCAGTGCAGGACCAAACCGGAAAGTAATGGGGCCTTTGACTAATTAGACAACTGCAGAGATCATTCTGCTAAAAGCAGCAGAGCTAATGAATTTTTTACTTGATCTGCTAATAATTTTCTCCCTTAAAAGGTAGAACAGACAAATAGGG